CACAAAAACATGCCCAAGCATGCACCGATGCACTCGTGGCATCCCATCACCAGCCGCGCAACTTGAACATTGTTAGAGCCAATCAGTCTGCTTGGCAACAGCTGGCTCGCTGGGAGCACAAGTCGTTCCTGTACAGAACTCACACTGAAACAGTTTTTGGATAACCCAATGGGAAGGAGGACAACTGTCGCAAGGATCCCAGCTTCCAACGTGCCGAAACCAAGGGAATATGCTCTGCCTCCACAGCGACACCGTGTGACAGTTGCATTTTTCGGACAAGAATGTGCTAAAACCCAAGAAATATGCTCCGTCCACAGCGAAACCGTGCGACAGTTGCCACTTTGCAAGCCACGTTTTGGACCCAAATGCAAAACCGATCCACGTCAAAGCGAAATTCAACTCTCTTGGGCCAGACGTGCAGCAACTTGCTTGTCTCGTTCTCTCCGTTGACACAAAGCACAAACATAACACCACTTGCGTGTGTATCTTACCTGTGTGTGCGGGTGTCGCTCCAATTTAGCAGAAGCCTGACACCCAGAATGAGAGGTGGCAAAACTTATCAAACTCAAGTGACCTTCTCTGTGCGAGAAAGATCTTACACGAACAACAAAGAAGCACTTGTCTTGAAGCGGCTGGCAAGAGCAAGTCTGGCAAATTTTCTAAGCCTATATATCTCACATTTCAGAGCGTGCTTTCTTGGACATTGGTCACGGAACAAGAAACTTTGTTGTCTGCGTAGTTTTCCAGCTGAAACGGATTCCAAAAAGCAGTTCTCGTCCGGGCACCGAAACGGATCCCAGATTTTGGCTTTCTTTGTCGAAACTACAAGCAATTATGCCGTTTCTTCTCGAGTAGAAGCAACATCTGCTTACACAGCTGGTCGTTGTGTTCAAAAGTAAACAAAACCTTGCGTAGCTCTGTTCTGCTGCATCATGCCCGTGTTCTAAAGTAGTAAGTGGAATGCGCGGCAACATGTGAACGTATTTGCAACATGGCCTCTTGTGGCCTGATGTGTTCTCAAAAGTTTTCCTTGCAAAAAGTCGCATCCAGATCCGAGAACCACTTGGAATTTTCGTTTTGGACAAGGCTTCACCGATAAGGGAAAGCAAGCTCCAGGCCTACAATGCACGACTTGTTCAGTTTTCGCACAAGCCATTTTTTTTTCGAATTTTTCTAAAGTGTCAAAAATGACCACTTCTGTAAGTTTGGCTTGGGTTCTGCCATAGAAACTTCTACTCTTCCATGGAAGGAAACAAGCAGGCTTTCAATGCACCGCTTGCGTTTTGACACACAGAGGAGTTATTGGGAAGTTGTTGTAAACGGCATGTCTTTCAAATCCACATCCGGAAAGTGGACACGCTGTGAAAACACAGCAGCAGCGCGCT